CTAAATGGGAATATCTGCTGAAAATGAATCGCATTACTATAGATAGCTACCTCGCACACCCGCAAATCCAACTTGGACTAGGCGACTGGGATGTTGGTTGCCTATGCTACAGTGGTAGGTACCTATCCGAGGGACATTACTTTTACAAGAGACTGTACCTACTCCGGTGGTTTTTACGATAATAGTTATTTTTAGTGGGCAAATGCACTATTTACTCTCAAGCTTTAGATTTGAGCATATATTCATATAGAGCAAGAGGGCATAAGCGCCGTTGCCCAAAAGTGATAAACATAATTTTTTCCACAATCATAAACCGATGTCCATTAAAAATTAATTTGACGTTTGCTAATGCCCATCTACTACGATTTTCTTAGAATAATTCAGTAGCAACCGAGCAACAAATTTTGCTCCAACGCCCGTTTTTCTAACGAAAAATATAGAGCAAAGTAGGCTTATTTTATTAATGATTAGGGAAAACAATGTTATATAACGTATTGGCGATGCTTCTTTATTTTCATCGCATAACCATAGCTACCGATAGTAAACACGTCAATCAACTGTTATTTGTCCGGCACACAATAATTCATCAAGGGCAACTATCAATTATCATTTTTTTACTTCCTTCGGTATGTCCGAAACGAAACCTATAGGTCATGTTTAGATCTAAATGACCCGCAGAATATATGGCTTGATGCAAATGAAAAAATTACACATTTACCTTCTAAGAGCACTAACAGATACTTCGTAAACCCCATTTTAAAAGCCCGTGATAAACTAAAGGTACTAAATGCCGATAAAATACATTAAGGGGGTGCTCAGACTTTGTTGATAAAGCTCGGAAACTATCGAAATCCCAATAATCAAAATCTGCTTTAATTAGATAATAATATTAATACACGTTTAGGTGCACCAGGACTCCGAATCAAACGAAATGTCGATGATGTCGATCGGTCTGTCTGTCTGTACTCTCATTTCTGGCTAAACGGTTCAACCGATTGGAACAAAGTTTTGTACACATATTCTTAGCAGCAGGTGGTATCTATGCTAGCCACCGCAAAAATTTTTAATTATGAAACCAATCGCTATCGTTTAAGGGTCCGTACATCTATTGAAGCAGTTTTTTTTACCAACAAACTACAGATTTCTAGAGCGGGTTTTAAGGTTATATACGAGTCAATGTTCCTCGAGTAGGTACAACAGAATTAGTGTAGTGTTTCCTTCACAGAACCAGTACCAGTACCATTAGTGGGAAGCATAAAATTAATTATGGTAGCACCAGTCTATTTAAACGTTTCTTTAAAAAAATGCCCTGGAAAATGTCTATCAAAGGAGAGATTTCTAAATACATCTTCAAAACTACAATTTTTGCAAAGAAGTTGTTCCACAATTATGAACAGTTTTCTACCAATCTATGTACTTTAAATTTTGCCGTCACTGGCGTACTTCTGCATGGCCCAGGGGTGTACTACCAGTAAAAATCGTGGTTGTTATTAAAAAATATATATGCCGCCCTGAACTCTGCCGACGTACACCACTGACTACAAATTTAAAGTACGTAGATTGGTAGCAAACTTTTAATAATTTGGGATTCCATAAAAAGATTCTTTAAAAAAATTGTCTTTTGAAGATACTCGTATATTCAGTGTTCCAAGCCAAAATTTCTACCCTGTAGAGTGTAGATTAATGAAAATACTGGGATGAAAAACCATAATGTACAGGGGGGCTCAAATTCATGGTTTACCATTGCGATCCGTGAGAGATACAGTGTAAGTTAAATGGTGAAAAAATTGTCTCTCTTACATGTTCAGTTTTTCGGTGATATCTCAGTTATTTTCCCAAGATTTTTCAAAAACATTTTAAATGCGTTTTTTAGTCACCCATTTAACCTACACTGTATCTCTCACTGTTACAGAGATCCAAATGATAAACCACGCATTGTAACCACCCTGTACAATCTGAAAATCCGATGTACACTTTATAATCGTAAAATAATAAAAAGCGCACACACTTGTATGTCTCTCATTGACTGTGCCAGATTTTTGGATTCGAAATGCGAAATTCTCCGTACAGGAACTAAATAAATAATGTGGATGTTGCATTTTGACAAAACCAACAATACGGGGATTGGTCTGAGTCGTCAAATTCTTCCATTTCTTCAGATTCCTTCTCGCATTCGATAGTTTCGAATTCTCTTGCTTCTTCTGATTCATTTCATTCTTTCTTCTTCACATTCATTTTAGGACTTTTTTTTAATTGCATAATTTCTTGTTTAAATTTTATCATTCAATTAAATTTGTTTATTTAAATCGCAAGATAATTGTTTAGTTTAAAATGTAAAAACACCTGGTCGAGTGCATTTAAGTGCTATCTGGTCGTGTACGATAAGGATGTTGTTATCGCGAAAGTTAATTGATTTCAAGATGCACGTGTGTTAGACGCTGATAACAAAGAGTGCAGGTGCCCTATTTCTTTTGCGCGTAATTTTGCGCTCCTTATTGGCGTGACATTTGAAATTGGCGGAAGTAGGAGTACAATGGTTTTGCGACGAAGCACCCGTTTTCCGCCTTGAAAGTACCAGTTTAGGGATCACTCTGTAGATGAATATCCGTGTTCAAAAAGCGTTGAGTGCTTCGTTACAAAAATTGTCGCTCCGAAAATTTCGTTTATGTGTAGAAGTTGGAAATGTAAGGTAGAAATTAGTGGGTTAATTTGCAGAGCCCCCCCGGTAAGTAAAATAAGAAGCCGTATGTAATTTGCCGTTTGCAACCGTCCCCGTAAAGAATATTTAGATTGTTTTTACAGCCGCCGAAAGCTCTTTTGCTAATTAGTTGAATAAGTTACGATAATAACAGCCTCCGATTAAGTCGAGATTATATTCGTTAGGTAGATCCATAAATTTTGACAACGGTCCCGTAATATTAAGAGGCCTCGGAAGGGCGTAATTAAAGAAGTTGTAATTTTTGGATATAGATAACCGAATACGCCGGCTGACTTGGAATTTCCATGTACCCGCCATAGTATAGCCGAACCTTAAAGATATAACGTAGGCGCTTAATTTAGATGGGACCTTTTTGCATTTTGTGGTTAATCGCGGCGTAAATTTAACCTAAACGTTAAATCTTTTACCGTTGCTATTTTACCGTGTTTAAACCTTTTGCCAGTTACATTAAGTAAGTACCGTATTCAACTTGGATGTTTTCTGTAAATTTATTTGGCATTGAGACCGTCTAATCTTTGCTTTACATTAAGTTTGCCGCACCGTCTCTATAGAGTTTGCTTTTTCTTGCACAGTAATTCCTACCGCCCCGTTAATTGCAAGGTAAACTTTTTGCTGCTTTCCGTTTCATTAATTATATGTTCCGCTTTCTTGTATTTGCTTTCGCGTAGAACCCGCTATCGAATCCGATTATTTGCTGCTCCCGCTTAGAGAAATTGCTGTGCGCTTTAAGTATGTTTTAGCGTAGCGCTTGCCCTTTACAATTACTCGGACCGCCGTTTTCCATTTGAGTTATCTGGAGCTTATCATTACCGATCGCATCTTGGCCAGAAACAAGAGGACCCGAAGCTTTTGGTGGCGCTCGGAGCATTCCCGTTCCACCGTTTCCTGTCGCGGTTCTGCGTCTTCTTTTCTCCTTTAATTAAACAAACCAATTCGAGTGATAGAATTTGGTGGAACCGAAAAGAAATGAAGTTTCTTGATTATTGGCTTCATTGAAATTTGTTTACTTAAAAAAATGTGTGCTGTACGCTCCGAATTATTCCAGATAATCAATTTTAATAAGCTTTCATTTTGTACTGAAGAACTTTTTCACTGTAACGCACCATTTTCGAGTTAAAAGCGAAAAAATGAAAAATGGGTCGTTTAAAGCCCCCCCCCCTTCCCCCAGCGGCTACGGAATTTGGAAGGACTTTATTTTTTCTTGTTCAGGGAACCTCTCCCTACACATTTCTGAAAAAATTGGAACTAATAGGTACCTTTAGTTGCTCTAATTGCCCATTTTTGGTCTAAATTGACTGGGCTAATTAGGAAAATTTATGTTCCCATTTTAAATTAAAGGAAAACCATAATCTTTGAAGTTTATCAAAGATTGTTAATTGGGAATATTACGATGAGTGATCTAGGGCGGCGAAAAATGATTTTCTTTTTGCACTTAATCTCGTACACTGCTGAAGCATTTTCAATGGTGTCGATTTGGGAGACCGCCCTATGGCGGTTTGAACACATTGATGTGTGGTGCCGATCCCATTACTACAAAAGCATCAGTTTGGTATCTACCATACTGAAAAGAGAGTAGTTTTTAATTACTGGAAGGATAACAAAAATCGCAGTTATCGAAGATTCTCCTTCTGTGAAGAGGACTCAAGGCGTGCTTCCTACTAAAACTTATTTTCCTGTCTAGACATTTTCCTGTTTTTTGTCAGCATTCTTTATCACAGTTTATATTTTCATTCAGTGATTCAGTTTATCGTCTTAACTAAGAAACCTAAATCCGCTAATCAGCAGACCACCAATCGCCCAAATTAAAACACGAGGAAAAGCTTCCAAGGGGACGTATCCCACAAAACCGTCCTAGATTTGCTAACTCACTACAGCGATAATGCATAAGTTTCTTGAAAGAGCTAAAATGGGAAACGAAGGGCTCACCCATTTTGGCAGTACTAAAAGAAACGCACGGTACCGGCAATACCTCACCGCAATAACTGGTAAGTACACACAGATAAGTCGCTTTATATACAATTTTTACCATATAAGTTCAAACAGCCGGCATTTTACACGTATCCCAACTCGCAAACATCGCATGGGGATCGCCTGCTCTGCCACGATTGTTAGCCGGAGATTCTTCAATTGGAAGACCGATTACTCACGTTAGTAGACACCGATAATAACAAACTTTAACTTTCCTCCCGGGTAAATTTAGGACGAGGCTTCGTGGGTAGTTTCAGTAGCATTTCTGGGGCTAATGCTTGGGGGGGCATTACTTCTTGTGCTACTGGATAGAATGGGATCAAGAAACGTTCTCTTAGCCGGCGCCTTGTTAACCATTATCTCCTGGATTTTGCTGGCATTGGCCAAGTCAGTTACGACCTTGATAATTGGGCGCATTGTAGCAGGAATAGGCGATGGAGTTTCTTTGCCGGTAAGTTGCTGGGCGAGACGCGCTGCTTCGAGTTACTTGCTTTAAATTCAGTGCATAAGTATCTATATTTGCGAGATTGCGAGTAAAGACATCAGGGGGAGGCTAGGGGCAATTCCCCCGCTGATCGCTGTATTTGGAAACGTATTCGTTCTGGGCGCAGGACCTTTTTTAGAGTACAGAACGCTTATAGTGAGCTGTGCGGTTTTTCCTGTAACTTTTACCATATTATTTTGGTTCATGCCAAATTCGCCATATTTTTTGATGAAAAACAACAAAAGAAAAGATGCCGAATTGAATTTGATGAGGCTATTAGGCGCACGGGACCCAGCAGAGGTGCAAAATGAGTTAAGAGAAATAAATGAAGCTATAGAGCATGAAACGGGTAGCCTCACACTGGTTCAAATAATGTGTTCGCCAAATTTCCGAAAGTCCTTATTGATAGCGTTTGGTAAAGTCCATTACATAACATTACAAGAAATTTATCGTATAATTTTAGTCGCTCAAAACATCAGCAGCTTCTGTGGAATGCACGTTATAGTATCGTATCTTCAAATAATCTTAGCATCCAGTGGTATCAGCATGTCGAAGGAATTAACAAGCGTTGTTTTCGGTCTGGTTCAAATTCCTGCAGGTAAATTACGGGTGTTCAATCATTAGTTTGCAATTTGCGTTTAAGTTATACTGTACGGCGTATTTATGGACAAATTTGGAAGGAAGCCTACGTTTTTCGCCTCTGCGCTAGGAGCTAGCATCGCCTTAATTTCTGAGGGTGTTTACATCTACCTTGCAGAAACTGTCGATTTAACCAATGTGACATTTGTTCCTGTACTGTGCATAATTTCATACCAATTCTTTATTAGCCTCGGAATGGTATGTTTGCCACACTTCATTGTCGGCGAATTATTTACTATAGAAACAAAGAAAGTAGCTAGCTCTATTTTGATGCTGTACTCCTCCATTATAATTTTTACGAATGTAAAGGTAATCGGAGGAAAGGTTGACTCGTGGAGTTTACACATCATCTTCTGGGTTTATGGAGGTGTATGCCTTCTAGGAGTATTTTTTGCATTGTTCATGTTACCGGAAACAAAAGGCAAATCGTTCACTGAAATTCAAAGTGGCATATCGTCGCATAATAGAAGTTCTCCACGAATGTAGATGAAGACTAGGTACAATGCTGCAGCTGGGTTGAGATTGGAAAGATGCAATGCAAATTTAACAGAAAACTGTTTAATCTTTGCAGAATCCGTGGGTGAACACGCCAAAACAACATTTGAAGCTGGATGTTGTGACTAAAACCTATGTTTTATGACCCAAGTTGCTATACTAATCAATCTAAAATTAAAAATATTGTACTCGTACATAGATGTAAAATAAGATGTAGGTATCATTAAATAAATATAAATAGTAACCGCTGAAAGTGAAAATTTATCCTGAAAATTATAGACATTTTGAATGGTCGTATATTTGTATTATTTGTGCTGGGTTTTTTACGAATACACACAAAGTGTGATGGTTTGGTTTGAATTTGTATTTCAGTGTTGGTTTTTTTAGAAATATTTTACATTTCGTTTTTTAATTTTATCGCTTTTGTTCAAGACATATCTGGTCAAATGAATTGCGTGATTTTTAAAAGAATTTATCTGGTCATTTGCGATAAGAAGTTTTATTATTGGGCGAAATTTAATTAATGCACAGGTGGTTCTGATAAAAGGTGCAGGTGTTATTTTATGACAATGTGCGCGTTTATCAGCGTAAGTGGGACACTGGGCGCGTTTTATCAAAGTTGGCGTTATTCAAGTCTAATTGTGATTGGCGGTTAATGTGAAAATTCATAAAGCAGATTATTTTATGATAAAAGTAGTGGATCCTTTCAATACGAGAGACAATGTCTAAACGAGGCTTTTTGTGACGGTTGGAGTGTAACGTGGTTATTTTGGGCAGCAGGCCCTATTTGTTTAGTGAGAGACGTAAATATTGTGATGATAATAAAGTTGTGTAATAGTTATTTACATATGAGTATGGTAAATCAAGGTTTACGTTAACGAGTGAGATGTTTACTGCCGAAGCGTAGCTGAGGCAGGAATTTCGAAACGAGTAACGTTAACTGATTTAACATACAAATAATGTAAAACATTTTATTTCATACTGCTCTATTTCTATTAAAATACCATTTTGATTAGAATGTTGTAGGTACACATTAAAATAAAAGCAAAAGTTGATCACTTGATTTGTTTGATCTGACAGTAGTTTGACAAATATCAATATCAATCAATCAATCAAATATCACGTTTAGATGGATGTCAGTTGCGGTTGCTAGGCAAAATTTCCAGTCTGGTAAAAATTTTCAGTCTGGTAATAGTTATTTATTTAATCAGTGGGATAACGGCCTCATTAACTTACGAATGCGACAATTGCGCATACGAGGGCGTTAGCCCGAGCTATTGTAAGAGCATGAGTATGTTAATGGTCGTTAGCCCAAGTATTAAATACAACTTTTTATCTGCGACTGTTCTTCTACTGCTAAAAACGAAAAATAAATTTGATGCATTTTTTAAAATTCCAATCGAAGTAGCATAGTTAGCAGTTTTCGACGCCATAGAAACAAGAAAATCCTAACGTCAAGAAAATTTGTACGTCAAAAATTTTGCTTCTGATTTCTTTGCTTATGTCATGAGTGAGTCTGGAACTCTTCCATCAGACGTTAATGTTTACAATATATAATCTTGATAGTTGATTTTTGATCATACATTGTTTTGACAAGGGCTTATCCCACTGAGTGTGGTAATGAAGTTCTTATCCCACTGAGTGTGGTAATTAAGTTCTTATCCCACTTAAAATGACCGGGATAAGTGAGAGTTATCCTACAGACGCAGATAAAATACGATTTACCAGACTCAAATAAGTCTGGGAAAGCGGCGATTACTAGATAGTATGAAATAAAAAAAGTTAAGTAATCGTATTAATAGATTTTATGTCATACTTGATCATTATTCAGTTATAATAATCCTAAATCAAGATACATTAAATGACAAATAATGCACTCCACCATGACAACCCCAATTATGCGTAGCAACGGGCGTTATTTCTGTAAATCCTATAAATATGGAATAATGAATCTGTAGGTACGAACTTTTTATTTTCAACAACTAAATAAAAAGGACTGCATTGATGTCGCATTATCCTACCGCTATTCTTTGAAGTAAAAAGAACAATTCTGGAACTGTCCAGAGAATACCGCACCAGCTTGGCCCAGACCCATAAATTTTCTTTCCTCAACCGATTCGGTTCTTTTGGGTGACGTATCATTTTCCATGATCGACATTGCCTTCATTTCAGTATAGGTGCTTGTATGCACGCCAGCTACGAGACAAGCATTGTTCTGCTTCAAGCGATGACTGTCATCTATATAATCCTTTGCCACTGATTGGCTCTGCCACCCTCCCAATTTCATCAAGTTGGTCATACTACCTCCAGCATCAGAATGGAGAGTGGCACTTGTACGTCGTAGGCAATGTCCTGTATAACCTTTAGCTTCGGGCAACCCCAAATATGTTGCAATTTTGCAAGGAATGCTTCCAAGTGTGTTTTTGCCCACAGGCTGAGACGTGCAAAGATTTCCCCGCAGGCTTAGGAAGAATCTTTCATTAGACACATCTTCAGGTCGCAGAGATATGTAATTCCGTATTAACTGCAATGCTTTCATTTCAGATTCCTCAATAATAATAAAACTTCGTCCTTTATCAGTTTTAGTAAGAGGAATGTCGACAATTATATGCGTTCCCACATCTCGTACATCTGTAAACTTCATTTTCAAAAGCTCATCTCTTCTGCATGCGCCAAATATCCCCATTAATAATGCAACCTGTAAATACACGAAGCCTATATATGCAAATGATCTTATAAAATAATACACCATACTTTGTACATCAGATACTGCGGATCAGGTGCTTCTGTAAGAAAGGCGACTATCTGTTCGCGAGTAAGGATTTTTGATTTTTTTGGACGATAGCCTTTCTGAACTTGTTTTAAATACCCTTGTAGCTGCACAAATTTTTCGAAACTCTTAATCTTCTTCTTTACCATTAGTTCTTTGCGTAGCATTGAAAATTTCGTCCAAAGCGAATTGGGAGAAAATGACTCTGACTGTAAATCACCTTTCCGATTAATGACTAATAAAAAATTACTTAAACATACCAACTCTTGGAAGTAACCCAACATAACGGTTTCGTTTATTGTCTTCACAGAATTACTGACCATCCATTTTTCAAAACTAGCATACTCTTTTTCATAACAGGATTTCGATTTCTGTGGCACTATGGCTTCATTCGCTTTTGCGGCTCGCGCAAGAACGTGTTCCGGTAAATGAGACGCTTCGTTTGCCATTTTTCAGAAAGTTTTTAGAATGTTTGACAAATATATCTATCTCCATAGTTACGACCATGGATAACTTAATTTTGATGATTCTTATTATCTTCTCTTTTAATCATCTGGCGCCGCTAATTCTTGGAAAATCATCAAGTATGACATAAAACGTTGAAGGCACCACGGGCGTTATGAACACAACGCCCACGGTCAACGTATAACCCTCGGGCCAGAGGCCCTCGGGTTCTACACTGTTGACCTGGGGCGTTATTTAGTTCATAACGCCCTTGATACCTTAATAACTATAAGTCGTAACGTTATAAAGTGAGTTAGTAAAAGTTCGTGAGAAGTGTTTAAAGCGTTGTGTCCATTATCGAAAAAAGTAGTAGTTCGAGGTTCAGTAAACCAAGCAGAATTAAAAGTAAAAGTGTTCTACCGTCCGACAAGCCACCAAATTTTGGCTTCTAGTTCAACAAGCCAATTGTTTTTTATCATCAACATCCAGTTTGACAGTTTAATACAAAAAGAAGTGACATTCCTGAAGCTGTCAGCGTATCGAACCCAAATAGAGTTCTCATGTCAGATTTTTCTACTTGTGTGAGGCGTTTAGTTAATTCTTTGGAATTGTCGGGAGTGTGCCTTCTTAGATTCTAAGAAAATCGTTCAAAAATTTTCATAAGGTGTAAAAAAATATCAAGGTTCTGAAGTATATCTTTCCAAACAAATATTCCTTTTTATTGATGTAAAGGAACGGACGGGATGATTGCATGCGTCATTCTACATATTCATTTTGTTTGTGCTTTGTTCTTTATTCCCTGTGACTCCTTAAAGTCTCAGTTTAGTATCAAATTACATCCTTCTTAATGAATATATAATGTTACATTTCTAAGTTCAGTCTAATAAAAAAAAACCACCCGTTTGGCAATTGCAGAATGTGCATTTTTTGAATTACGTGGGATTTAAAAACCATCTGGGATTGGTAGTACTAAAAAAGATTAAGCAATAAACAATTAGACATCGCCATTTTGAGAGATAATCCATAGGCATTCAAAACATTACGAAGTAACTAAGGAGGGAAGCTGAAAATTCGGAGTTTTTTTTGCGTTCAAATTGTCAACGATAACCAAGTATTTAACGGCAATGATAGAATAAAGTGAAACACATCATTGTGCATTCCAATGACATCTGCCATTCTTATTAAAAATGGGAAGCGAGCCATGATATAAAATGAAGTTCAGAACAGAAAACAATATTGTTTCTATGGAAACGGCGGGATAACCTAAGCTTACTATTTTATCTAAATTAAATACCTAAGAAGTTTTAATATGATTTATATGGCTTCTGCTATAAAATAAAGTGTTATATTATACAGGATGATACAGGAAAACTAACCATCTCGTGACAGTGAAAGGAACCATCTTCCACTCGATGGTTAAACCATTCCTTTATTGGCTTGTATAATAAATAAGTTTTTTTTTTGGCGTGAATTGAAATTTGCATTCGTTGATTTTTATATAGAACATTTTTCTGATTGAGGGAATGCATCACATACTATTGTTTGGTTGAGATTGATTAACAATCTCATATTTAAATTCCTCATAAAATTATTTGAATAATGTCATAGTTTAAACCGTCAATTTTTACTAGCTACCCTGTAATAGTTATTTACATAGAAGTCAGGAAAATGACACATTACTGGCGAGGAAATATTGAAATACAAGGCCCTTTGGGGCCGAGTACTTTAATTTCCGAGACAAGTAATGTCATTTTACTGACGAGTTTTGTATTAAATT